AAGTTGCCTGCCCATTTTGCCTTGCATATCTGTATCTGAATCCTCATCGCCCTAGCAACATGCTGCACTTCTTGAAAAGATCGAATGGATCGGTTGGGCTGCCCGCCAGGTTCCCCTTGTATCTCTGCATTTGTGTCCTCATCGGCTCTAGCTGACGCTGATTCCTTGTCTTCAGATCATGGTCTGCAATCACCTGCCTCAACATGATGATTGTCTCGAAAGAACCGGTTGTGTTTGCCAGGTTGCCTGTGCAGTTCCCCTCGCATCTCTGTATCTAAATCGTCATTTCCTCTTGCTGACGCTAAGCTAACTTCCCATCCGCTCATCCTCTTCTGCCACAGCCTGCCAAAACATGCTGCACTTGTTGGGACCTGGCTGTTTGGCTGGACTTCCTGTGGGGTTCCTGTTGCATCTGCTCATGGGTCTCTTCACCGTCGATGGCTTTTTATCGTTTTCACAAATTTTTCTGCAACAATCTGCGTCGGCATATGCCATTGCTTGACAGAGCTTTGACGGTTGACTATGTTGTTTGCCAGTTTCTTTTTGCCTGCGGGTGGCTGAATTTTGGACATTTCTTGCCAACGTTGGTTTCTCATGTTCAGGTGCCTTGGAGCCACTCACTGCTGCAGCTTGCCGCTGGGATTCCCGGGAGAATTTTGGAGGCTGACAAGACTGCTTGTCAGGTTCTTGTCGTATGTGTCTGCTTGCATCCTTTTTGAACGTTTCAGATGCTGATTCCTCACAGGCAGATGCATCGTTCTCGTGTCCAAGCGCTGCTTCTGATGCTGTTTTGGCCCCGCCCGCTTCAGCAAGCGGACTTTGCCGAAGAAAATTTGACGGCGGACTGGACTGGGTGGTGGCAGGAGCTTCTCTTTGGCTATGTCTGCCTGTGTCCTCACCCTCCCTTCCTGAAGCTGACTCCTCATGTTCCAGCGTTATTCTGGCACTGCCTGCCCCACCTGCTTCGTGCCTGGTATGTGGAAACTCTTCTGTATCAAACTGCGTCGTCTGCACTGCTC